AGGGAAGTCCCGGAGCGCCAGAAGACTCCGAGAAGAAGAGCTTTTCGGCTCGGAAGTTTTTCCCCCGCATAGCCCGGTTCCTAGCCAAACCTCCTAGTAAGTGAGTTATGATTACCTTACTTTAAGTATAACTTATGTTTAAGTTCAATATCGTTATTATGAACTTATAAACAATATATATATATATATATATATATATATATATATATATATATATATATATATATATATATATATATATATATATATATATATATTATATAATATAATATAAAAAGTGTTATTATAATATCTTTTAAATACTCGCGGTACGGGGAATCTGGTTTGAAGGGCCGCATAGGGTTGTTGGATTTCAGAAGTGCTATCATGCCAAAATGGTCCTGCCCTCCGGTGTTTCATGTATGGACCCTGTTTGTACATAGTGGTTGAAAAGTATTGTTTAACACTTATAATACAATATCTCTCGTAAATAGTCGCAATAAATATTAGACTAAAATCTAGCGATAATGATACTAGATTTTGTCGAAGGAAAAGACGATTGTTAGAAGCGAATCGCTGTCCTTCCGAGTCATCACTTTAACAAGTGAGTGCATAGTTACTTTCATCTTACACATAGATATGAAGTATTTAATATAAATTACGTGCTCTGTGTGCCTATTATCTGTGTTCTTGATATCTATGTTGGATGAACAAATTATACATGTTTTATTTGATTTAAACTATATATGTATTTTATACCTATAAAAATATTGGGTAAAGATGGGTAGATGAATGATGAGAGATGAAAGATGAAATAGATGAACATTGGCAGCTATGGACTTAGTGCCTGATAGATAAACCCTGGCAGCTTTGGACTTAGTGCCAAACAGATAAACCCCGGCAGTTATGGACTTAGTGCCTTACAAATGAACATTAGCAGCTATAGACTTAGTGCCTCACAAACGAACATTAGCAGATATGGATTTAGTGCCCTATAAATGGATATTGGCAACTATAGACTTAGTGTCTAACAGATAACATCGACCACTATGGACTTAGTGCCTGCTGGATGAACTCTGACAGTGATGGACTTCGTGCCTATTCCTTAGGACAATCCTTAGGAATGAATGAATGATGAATAGATGATTCTTAGGGTAGATCATTAAGAATAAAGAAGATAATTGCGATGGGAAGTTGGGTTAATTGTTTGACGATTAAACATAATAATTATATTATTGTGGGTTGAAAACCCTATGTACTCACCAGGTTTCCCAACCTGACCCACTCAATTTATTTATAACACATGTGTCGATACGAAGCTACATTACATTGAGAGATTAAAGGAGATGCAAATCACTAGTGTAAATGAATGTAAGGTCTGTTTACGCTTATGTTTCTGTATTGACGATGACATCCCAAAGTTTTAATATAAACAAAATACATTTCTTCGGAAATGCTTTGATAAAATATTTATCATTTTTTCTGGAAGCAAATTCTGCAATATTATTTTTTCAAATGAAAACTCTGATTTTCAAATAAGCATAAATAAAATTTTTAAAATGACCGTGAATTTGGAGATGTCACATTTTTGACTCCATTTTCACCATTTTTGATCTAGTTTTGGGGAAGGACATGCATTGGACATGCATGTCTGTAAAGCAAGGCCTTTATGGCTCTTTATAAGGCAAGGAAGCCTTCTTGAAAGTTAGAGTAAAGGACTTAATGCTTGATTGGTTATATGGTAGCGATAGCTTGGGTTCCTTGTAGGGAAGGCTAGTTTCATAGGAAATGTACTTTGTTATATTATTATATAAATGTATGCTATATGGTTATATGGTAGCGATAGCTTGGGTTCCTTGTAGTCTAAGTTGGATAGCCTCAAAAATCTTCGTCTAATGCTTGATTGTGATGTTCTTGTCTGATTGTTCTCTCTCGGGTGGATCATCTGTTTGAATGTCTATCTGATCCTTGATTACATATAACTTTGTTCATTGCAGGGAAAGACCATGGGGGTAGCCTATTGCACTTTTTTGAAAGACCATGGGGGTAGCCCGTTACACTTTTTTGAAAGACCATAGGGGTATCCCATGACACCCGTTTGTAAGACCATGGGGGTTGCCCATGGCATTGCAGGGAAAGACCATGGGGGTAGTCCGTGGCAAGATGTGAGACTATGAATTAGCTTGTAGCATTCACCGGGGTTAGAGCAGACCCGTTACTTCATGTATGATTGTTAGGTATGATTATGTGGATAGCAGATTAGACTATTCGGTACGAGAGACGAACTCTTTTGTGGATGCATTTTATGTATGATGGAATATGTGGTATATTGGGGAACTCACTAAGCTTTATGCTTACAGTTGTGGATTAAACATTTTTGCAGATAGTTCACAAGAAGAGCTTGGCAGGACTGTACACAGGCATCGAAGATATTGGTTCTGGTTTTCAAACAAAGGTTTTAATTGATTACTATATTTTAAAATTAAAAAATCTATTTGTAATTTTCGGGATGTAACAATTTAACACTTATTCGTTGTTGCAATTAAAGATGTTCGTTTTAGTTTTTTGGAGGAAGATCTCTATAAAGTTTGAATTTGGGTTTTATGTTTGTATAATCTTGTTTGAGCTTCGATATTTGAGAATGAAAAATTAGTAGGAGTAAGATATACCATTTGTGGATCTACATGTAGAATTAAAATTAAGAGAAAATTACACGGATGGTCCCTGTGGTTTGTATTTACTTACACACTTTGTCCCTAGAAAGATTATTTAACTCGGACCATCCCCAAATTAAGAAAAAATTACACGTGAGTGGCACATTGCGGGAATTTTTGTCCTTTCGTATATACAAAGTATTAGCGCCATTTAGAAGACGAATGGTTTTGAAAATCCGATCATCCTCAAACCCAAACACATACAAACACACGCTGATCAGAGGAAGCCCCTTTTATTTCTCAAACCAAAAACCCTAATCGATTGCTAATCCTTTTTATGCTTCACTAAATAATCAACAATGATGGTTTGGAAATTACGTGAAGCACGGAGTCCACTCATTACTGAAGCAGAAGTTATCTTCAATATGGTAAGATTACACCAACTAACAATTAATCCCTTTTTGTTTGCATTTTCTAGGAAGTGTGAAATCTTACAACCTTAATCAACTGTTAATCCATTTTTTTGCATTTCCCGAATAGTTGAGCATCCGACTATGTTTTTCATGTTATTAAACCATGTTGGAAAGTTTACTGATTTTCCTGGAAGGAAGTATGTAAATGGAAAGAGACATTATGTCGAGTTACTAGATATAGAGACTTTATAGGTTCACAATATTGATTATATGATAGTGAAACTTGGGTATATCGACGAATACCTACCTGTGGAGATGTACTATCATTTTCAAAGGCCACTTTGTGATATGGATTTTGGCTTGTTCACTTTAGCTTCAGATGATGATGTAAGGAATTTAGCAAAATATGTTGGTTAACATAAGCTAATAGAGGTGTATACGGTGCATGGGCAAACAAAATTACATACATACTCCATGCCCCCAACCTATGTAAGGTACATATAGTTAAGATTGAAAATACCCCAAAAAGATTGTTTTTGGAACGAGATGATACACAGGCAAGCACATCAATGCCTGATATATGTGTTCCTGATACAAAAGCAAGTGTAGTTGTCATTGATCATCTAGTTGATCCTAATAGAAAAATCCCTCCTATTTTACCTAAAAGAAATGAGCCTTTAGTTGACAGTGAGGACATGGATACTGATAATGCATTTGACATGGAAACTGAAAATGAAGATGGTAGTGATGATAGCAACATTGGTGATGATAGTGACAGTGAAGATGGTGAATTTCTTTTGGCTAAAGATAATATCATTGATGATGTTGAAATTGACATTAGAGAATTCCAATTGAATGTTGACCTAGATGTTGAGTGGATTGGAGGTGCTTTTAAAAGAAATGAACATGTAGTTAGAGATGATGGGAGGCTAACATGAACGCCTAATGATCATTGACAATGTGCCAAGATCAACTAAAAGAGGTGGGGAATGACTCAAAAATGGGTGTTACCGAAAAGACTTGGTCCCAAAAGATGTGAATTGGGGGACCCACTTCAAAGTTCATCAAGCACCTCAATGCAAGGAGTGATAAACAAAATCTATCTAACTATCTACTCTAGACCCCTATAAAAAATGATAACCTATCCTAAAAAGGGCGGTGAGAATCTAACTAAGTAAGGCTCGGACGAGACTAGGGAGTACTAAAGGGTACTCCCTCCAAAACCAAGATGCGAGTCTTCAATATCTTCATAATACCTTACCGGGCTAATCTTTGCTCGTACACATTGGCTTGACCAACCACATCCCTCCGCACCTAGACCCAATCAAGCTACCTACATCTGACCCCCACACAAGTGGTCTTAAAATGGTCCGTGAGGCTTAAAACGTGTCCCACTTATCAAATACAAGGAATTCCATATCAAGACCCGAGACGAATCTATGATTTAATACTTATGACTCGGTGCTCTGGTACCTGTTGGGATGAGAAGACAAGAGAGAACAAAAATGCATGAACTTAAACTAGGATGCATCTAAAAAGTATGAAAATTAGAAAAGAAAGAAAGAAAATATGCAATATTTTTGAATTTTTCATGCAATTTTTATGAATGACCTAAATGAGTTACTCAAAATGCAACTATATACAACCTAAATGCAATAAAAATAAAAATATAAGAATACCTCACCCCAAGCTTAAAATTTAGCATTGTCCTCAATGCTTAGGATGAGAGTAAGGAAGGATCATACTGGGATCAAGGTGGAGGAGGCCCACGAGGGGGGTAACCATCGTCGGGCCGAAAGTGATACCAAAGATCCTCCATGTAGTTATTGGCGCGGGCTTGCTGCTCCTCGATGCGGTGAATGGCTGCTGTGTTCCGGTTGCCCTGGAGGTGCAATGAGGCAAGCTGACTGTAGATATCAAGAGGGAATTCGTGCTCAGGATCGGGCTCATTGTGTTACTGATAGGAGTGGTACTCTTGTTGCGGCTGAAAGTGTGATCCCGAGGTCAGAGCATAAGGTGGTGGCAATTGTCGGATCGGGAGGTCATAATGGTCTTTGGCCTCAAATGGACTACTAGCATTGGAATTGTTGACTTGCATTTCATCATCATCATCGTGTAACTCTTCAGGCAAGAACCAAGTTTCAGGCTCGCTGGTGGAAAAGGCGGAAATGCTAGGATTAGGCAAGATGTAAACTGGTTCCTTGACATGATTGAGCCAAGAAAAATGGTTATGACGGGTAGGATGAGGCATCAGTAATTCCATCCGGGTGAGGGCTATGCAGTCAAGGAGGTAGAGAGGCGGATCATCCACTGGCACATATTCAGATTCGGGAAAGTGAAGGCCCACACCCAAACCAATTATGGTAATGAAACCTCTGATGCAAATATCGCCAGTGGTCTTCGTGCGAAGGCTGTCACACTTATCCAAGAAAAAGGTGGCGAAACTGGGGCAAGACCAATGTAGCTGGCTCATGCAATAGAGGAAATCGAGCTCGACTGTGTTTATTTGTCTCGGCTCATGACGAGCAAAGATGGAAGTTGAAAGGATTCGGTGGGCGATTCTCCAACAAGGATGGAAGATGTAAGGATCTTTTTGGCGACTTGGATTGAAGTTTGGAAGACTTGTTATTTGAGTCCAAAACTCTACATTAGGCACGCGTTTGAATCGAGTCCACTGATGGCTATATATGTCGGTGTTGAAGGGACTGTATGTGCCCATGATGGTGTTGAGGGTGTCGTATGTGAGTCGGTGCTACCAACCCTGGAGTTTAAATGTGAGCACCCCTGCTGCGTCATCCCGTGCATAAGTGGAGAGGAACTCTAGTGTGGGTTGTTGGTAAGTGCGCGTGGAAAGATCGAGGAATTCTTGCCAACCTATGTTGAAGAACAGTTGTTGCAGGCAATCGTCAAGGCCAAGGTGCGTCATTGAGTCTTGGTGGTAAAATTTGGTGGCTCGAATTGCACGTTTTTGGAGGTTTGACCGGAATTGTTTGATTTGTGCACTCGTGAGGACAAGGTTACCCGCACGACCGATATTCTCGGTTGATGCTTTTTTTGTAGATTGCGAGGATGAAGCCTCATGAGAAGAACCATGAGAGGCGTGAATGGTTTTGTCCCTTGCCATTGTACCTGTTTATAAACCTAGCAAACACAAAAAAAAACTTGGCCAAAATTATCCCTCACACCAATCCAAACAAACTAAATAATAAGAATATAAACCGGGAAAATATTCCAAACTTGCAATTTGGTACAATTCAATGCAATTCAATCAATTCAAAGCAAACTAAGTCCAATTCAAATCAATCTAATGCATAGCACAAGCTAATTGAAATTAGAAGTTAAATGCAATAAAATTAAAGAAATATACCAAATTCGTGTGTTGAAACCCAAAAAGAAATTCGCTAAAATCGCACCCCAAGCTTGAATTTGACCCGAAAGATTGAATCTTTTGAAACTCCGGTGAGAAACAAAAAATTTTGAAATTTTTGGTCAAAACTAGTGGCGGCGGTCGGCGGCGGCGACAGATGGCGGCCGGCGGCGGAGCTAGGGTTTCCGGCGAGGAGATTTTCCCGAATGAACAGTAGATCGGCGTGAGGGAGAGTGTTTGGTGAATAATGCCCCAAGAAAGCAGCGTGAATGGTTTTGTCCGTTGCCATTGTTGGAGATTTGGCGTCGGAATCGTGATTTGTTCGGTTTTCCGGCGAGCACGGGAATGGCGGTGGCGGGGGGTGTTTTCGGTGAAGAAAGGTAGGGTTGTGGTCGGAATTATGTGGGTAATAGGGTGGTGGGGGAACGTCGGCGAAGGAAGCAGCGAGGAGGTGACGGCTGGCGATTTACGCTTTTCCGACGAGAAATTTGGGCGAGATCTGGGCTGCCGTTGTAGCGTCGCTGTAGGAGGAGAGGGCTAGCCACCGGTGGTGCTGAAGCGGTGGTAGCAGAGCTGGCCGGCAGAGGCTGAAGTCGGAGGTGGCATACGTTGCGCCAAATCGGAGGGATAAGTTCGGGGATTTGTGTGCGTCGCAGACGGGAGTTACAAGGGGGGTGTGGTCCGATGGGTTGAGGGGGTATAAGGGTGGGTCTTAAGATGGAACGGGTCGGGTATCGGGTCGAAACTAGGGTCGGATCCGGGTAGGGAGTGGGATTGGAGCAGGTTACCGGGTGGGGCGGGTGAGTTGTGGGTAAAATGGGTCAGCCGCGCAAGGAAGGTTGCATTTTGTTCTTGGGCGCGCAAGCATCTGCGAGGGTGTAGTTAGGCCGCGCAGACTAATCAGATGCAATTCTAAGTTGTGGAGGTTGGAACTCGGAACTTGCGCGGCTGGGGGCCAGTCGCGCAACGTCTACGCGGGTACCCGCACAAATTTCGAATGTTTTTTCATTTTTTTCAAACTTCACCAAGATCATTGCTAGACTTCCAAATGCTTATTTTTAGACCAACTTCAAGCTTAGAAACACCCAAAACTTCAAGCGGAGATTATTTATTTACAACGCATTTATTTAACGTCTTTGCCAAGACTTAGCCCCGCTTCCGTCAACCTTCGTAATTCGGATTTTCCAATGTTATGTTGTCAAATTCTCCTGTGTCAAAGCCTTCATAAAATGGTTTCAAGCGATGCCCATTCACTTTGAATATTTGATTTGTTTCCAAACTCTTGATTTCAACCGCACCATGATCAAACACTTTTAAAACAATAAAAGGTATGTGCCATCGAGATCGCAACTTTCCCGGGAATAGCTTTAAGCGTGAATGATAAAGAAGAACTTTTTGGCCCGGAATAAAATGCTTACGAGTGATGTGTTTGTCGTGAAACGCTTTTGTCTTATCTTTGTAGATGCTTGCATTTTCATAAGACTAGTTCCTCAACTCCTCGATTTCTTGAAGTTGCATCTTTCGGTGTTTTCCGGCTTCTTCAAGATTGAAATTACACTTTTTAACTGCCCAATATGCCTTGTGTTCCAATTCCACCGGTAAATGACAAGACTTTCCATAGACGAGGCGGAATGGAGACATACCAATTGGAGTTTTGTAGGCGGTCCGATACGCCCACAATGCATCTTCTAACTTCAAGCTCCAATCTTTTCGTGTGGTGTTGATCGTCTTTTCAAGAATTTGCTTAACTTCTCTATTTGACACTTTGGCTTGGCCATTCGTTTGTGGATGATAAGCGGTTGATATCCGGTGTGTGACACCATATCTTTTCATCATGGCTTCCATCATTTTGTTGCAAAAATGAGTGCCCCTATCACTCACAAAAGCTCTCGGTACACCATATCTTGCAAAAATGTTTGACTTCAAGAAGTCAATCACAGTTTTGGAATCATCATGCCTTGTAGCCTTTGCTTCAACCCACTTTGATACGTAATCAACCGCCAAGAGTATATAAGTGTATCCGAAAGAGACGGGGAAAGGGCCCATGAAATCGATTCCCCATACATCAAAGATTTCGCAAATGAGGATAGGGCTTTGAATCATTTCATGTCTCGTGGATACGGTTCCTGTTCTTTGACATCTATCACAACTTTTGCAAAATAGATAAGTATCTCTTGACATTGTTGGCCAATAGAGTCCACATTCTAAGACCTTTCGCATGGTTTTGTTTTGACCAAAATGTCCTCCGCATGCATACTCATGACAAAACTTCAAGATTGATTTGACCTCATTTTGATGAACACACCGCCGTATTAGTTCATCCGGACAATGTTTCCAAAGATAAGGGTCGTCCCATACGTAGTATTTGGAATCACTCTTCAACTTGGCTTTTTGGTACTTGGTAAATGCATGAGGAATTTCTTTAGTAACCAAGTAGTTCACAATATCCGCATACCATGGGATGGTGTTTGAAATGTAGAAGAGGTGCTCATCCGGGAATTCATCAAGGATAGAAGATGAGGAGTCACCAATATTCAACTGACTTAAGTGGTCCACAACTAGATTTTCGGCACCACTTTTGTCCTTTATCTCAAGATCGAATTCTTGTAAAAGAAGAATCCACCGAATCAGCCGTGGCTTGGCATCTTTCTTGGTCATGAGATACTTCAATGCGGCATAGTCGGAGTTTACAATCACTTTTGTTCCGAGAAGGTATTGTCGGAATTTCTCCAAGGCGAATACAATGGCTAGAAGTTCCTTCTCGGTGGTTGAGTAATTAGCTTGAGCATTATCCAAGGTTTTGGAGGCATAGTAGATGACATGTGATGCTTTGCCCTCCTTTTGACCTAAGACCGCTCCAATTTCAAAATTGCTTGCATCACAGATTATTTCAAAAGGAAGCTCCCAATTTGGAGGTTGGATTATTGGAGCAGAAGTGAGCAAGGCTTTGTGTTTATCAAAGGCTTCTTGACATGCAACATTGAAGTCAAAATCAACATCTTTTTGGAGAAGGAGGCACATCGGACGCGTAATCTTCGAGAAATCTTTGATAAATCTTCTATAGAATCCCGCATGGCCCAAGAAAGATCTTACTTCTCTAACACATGTTGGGTAAGGAAGGGTTTGGATGATATCAATTTTGGCTTTATCAACTTCAATTCCCTTTTTGGAGACGATGTGTCCCAAGATGATGCCTTGATTGACCATAAAGTGACACTTCTCAAAATTTAACACCAACTTTTTCTCAATGCATCTTTTCAAAATCTTCTCAAGATTATCCAAGCATTCATCAAACGAATTGCCATACACTGTGAAGTCGTCCATGAACACTTCAATTATATTTTCTACATACTCTGAAAAGATGCTCACCATGCATCTTTGGAATGTGGCGGGGGCATTGCATAATCCAAAGGGCATCCGCTTGTAGGCAAACGTGCCAAAAGGGCATGTGAAGGTTGTCTTGTCTTGATCTTCGGGGGCAACGGGTATTTGATGAAAACCCGAGTATCCATCGAGACAACAATAATGTGACTTGCCCGCCAATCTCTCGAGCATTTGGTCGATGAAAGGAAGAGGAAAGTGATCTTTTCGTGTGCTTGAATTCAACTTTCGATAATCAATGCATACCCTCCATCCATTTTGAACTCGAGTGGGTACCATTATTCCTTTGTTATTCTCAACAACCGTGATTCCCGTTTTCTTGGGAACCACTTGAACCGGACTAACCCACTTGAAGTCGGAAATCGGGTAAATCATATCCGCATCAAGGAGTTTGATTATCTCTTTCTTGACAACTTCCATCATGGGAGGATTTAATCGTCTTTGAGCTTCCCTCCTAGGCTTACAATCATCTTCCATGAGTATCTTGTGAGTGCATACATTAGGGCTTATCCCCT